GGTGGGGGGTGATCCTGACTGACGTGTTCGGCGGTAGCGCAGAGGAAGAAGAGGAAGAAGAAGGAGAAGACCGCAGCCCGGTTCGCTCCTCCATTCAGCGAGCGCCCGATCAGAGACACGGACTCACCGAGCAGAAGTAGAAGGAGCAGCTGACAGAGTCAGGAGAAGAGAGAGACGGAGCGGGAAGAAGAGGAGAAGAAGTTGAGCAACATGTTAACCACCGTGAGGAGGACTTCCTGTAGACCCGCTCCCTCAGAGACCGTCTGACTCCTCCGCTGCGCAGCGCTTTCCCCCCGGTCTCTCCTCTCCGTTTTTATTTTTTTCACTTCTTCCTGGGGGGGTGGGTGGATAACTGATCTCGTCCTCCGTCTCATGTGAACTAAGATCCCCCCCCACCCCACCTACCCCCCTCCTCTGAGCTGGAACGATGCGGACCTCTCATGATACCGTTGGATTTGTTTTCCTGGCCGGATTCTGTGTTCAGCTGGGATTCTCCTTTGAAGGTAAGATTGACGCGCGGTTCCGTACAGTGCGCGTGCAGGGTGATGGAGGGGGGGGGCCCCCCGCCCCCCCCCCCCCCCCAAGCACCGAAAGTGCGCATATACAAAATACCCTACAGAGCCGGTTTGGTCCAATGTTTGAGGAGACGGACCAGTTGGTGCTGAGGAGCACAAAGCAACTGGTGCTTTTTGGGAACCAGTGTGATTGGGTTTTGCCCCTCACTGAAACTGTTTCAGAGCGGTTCTGTTTATGTGGATGAACCGAGCCAGGAGCTGTCCACGGTGCTGAAAGCTTTAATTAAAAACAACGACGAACACCCCCCACCTTCCCCCTCACTCTCTCTCACACTCGCGCGCACACACACACTGTTCTGGATCTGCTGTCTGACACTGCTGCTTCATCACTGTTTGGACCCGCTCAGAACCGAACAGAACCACACAGTAAACACTGACGCGTTGTGGAAGTTGGGGTTTTTTTCATCTTCAACATGTGGCCAGCTGCCCGAGCAGAACCAGTCTATTTCATATTTCACTTTTATCAGTCTGGCTCCATGTTTATTTTTCTTTCTTTTCTTTCTTTTTCTCCCTTTTTTCCCCTTCTTCTTTTTAGAACATGAGCAAACACACACAAACAACAACAAGAGAAAATAAATAAACAACACAAAAAGGAGTGTCTGATCTAAAGGTATTAATCAGCTGCGCTTGTTTTATTTTTCAGACTCGCGTCAGAATATGTGAGGTGGGGGTGGGGGGTGTTGCCTACATCAAGCCCTATCATCCCCTCACAGAGGAGGGAGGGTGTGTGTGTGTGTGTGTGTGTGTGTGTGTGTGTGTGTGTGTGTGTGTGTGTGTGTGT